TTCAAACCAGCAAAGCGCTTTCTGTCTGATCGGGGCCTGATTCTTCTTTGTCGTTTATAGCGGGTGGCATTACCGCCACCTGCTGGATTAAACAGTGCAAAATATTTACAGTGTCCACCCAATGTGATTCCATTCACAACTACAGTACGTCTAGTTATTTTTTTTTCTATTTTTGTGTCTATAGCAGCATTCTCGCGACCCCCTGGGACCAGTCCCGACCCCCAGGTTTAAGAACCCTGGTTAGAGCATCACCTCTCTATGGCTTTGTCCAGCTGATAGATGATGGCCTGCAGCACAGCTTTGGTGGGTGGTGACATCTGGCCGATGGAGACGAGCAGTGAAGAGTGCCAAAGCAGCACCCTTTGCATCACGGCCAGGCTGGTAGGAACATTAACATGTTTTATACACACCTTTGCAAATCCACAGTGTTTGTATTCATATGATTTTGGAGAAAGGGCAGCTAGAAAATTATGATTATGTGCAAAAACAAATGTGCAGACTGACGTGCACATACACAAACACACAAAATTCTTCTTTAATGACTAGGGTGCACCATTTTACTGTATCCTGGGGTGTAATACTGAAATGAAACCGCAGTTACTTTGTGAAATGTGGATGATAATTGCTTCAACACTCACCAGGACTGTAAATTTGCCACTCAGCAGCTCAGAGCGCAGGGCTCCTCGTCAGGGTTGATATTGATGATGCCCTCTTTGATTCTTGTGTTCTAGTTTTGATGCATGATGTTAGAGACAGGAGAAGAGGGGACGTCATCAGCTTGCAGCTAAAACAGCATGTACACAAACAGCATCAAAATTTTAACTTGAATGTGGTTGTTGTCTAGTGTTAGTCTGTAAATCAAACTGGAAAGGTTCTAACACTTGTTTTTTTCATCGATTGTGCTTTTAAAGGTTAATATATATATATAGCAACAGTATAATACAGCACTTGTCTTCAGTCAGTATTAACATAAAACAATTGGGTTAGCAATGGTTTTGTTTGTTGCTTATGTTTTTGTTTTCATTAGGATTTTATGGGTGTTCATGATATTGTGTCCACCTCCTGTATGGGTCGCAAAGAAGACTGTGGACTGACTTTCCCCCCATACAGCACGTTGATATTTAGAACTGAACGGGGCAGGACATTGTTAGCATGTCTGCTAAACAGTCATCTCGGTTTTGTCCCCAAGCAACGCGCTGCTGTACCTTGTATGCTTGGAAGAGGTCGATGGCTCTGGAGACGTCAAACTTGCGGGCCATGAGAAACTTTACAGCGGTAGGTTGGGAGACGAACCCAGCACTGTGAGGCTGCTCCCTGCTACGCACCTCACTCAGGAACTCCTCCACAGCCTGGACAAACATCAGAAAGTTGATGGAAGACAAAAGGTGAGGTGTTAGTGTGTGAGTGGGAGGCATGGCTCATGAGGTAGAGTAGCCGTCTAGTAATTGGAAGGTTCTTGGTTCGAGAGAGCATCAAAGTGTCCTTGAGCAAGACACTGAACACCTAAACTATTAGCGGCAGAAACAAAATTGTGCAGAAGGGGTATAACCAGAGGAGGAGAACCTGATAGGAAAGAGAGAAGACAGGAATTACAACTGACATGACAAAGAAACGCGTGAGTCTGTCGGCCCTCTTCAGCCTTTTTGTTCTTTGCCTGCCAAAGTTACAAAATGTGTGATACAGACGGCAGCAGCATGCTGGGGCCCTGGAAGATGCTTTGGATGAGAGCACTCATATGCCAGGAAGAGACAACAGTCAGCTTGTTTTCACCCAAGTGAGCCGCAACTGTCCTCCAATATGTAACCAGCACAAGGAGAGTCTTATGAATGGGTACAACAGTTTAGCTATATACAAAACTGGAATCTACCCACTCATAGCACAAAGAAGAAGAATGCAGAAAAATCTCATGAGCTCATGAGCAATTTTGTTAAAAGATAAAGCACTATTATACACACTTAAATATATGGCATTTGCTGTGTGACCCCTGCTCTTCTTCTACCTGCAAATGTTTTATTTCATGACAGACACTAGTAATTCATTAACCACAATGGGGAAAGTATATTAATTTTTATGATGCCAGGCCTGGATAGGTGGTCTTTGTTGAAAGTCATGTGGCATACCACTGCAATATCTCACTGTGGGAAACCCTAACATATGTGTATGGAACCATGTCATCAGCACAATAATGAACATACACAAAAAGTATATTTTTTATTTAACTACATTTATACAGTCACAGCACTTGCACTTCAAATGATGAGACTGTCAGGATGTGACGTAGTCTGAACTCTGTGGCAAGAATGCACTGTGGGTGCAATGCTGTGACTGAACACATATTGAAGCTGCAAAGTGTATGCACACATGTTCGAGAAACGTACACCTGGTCCTGGCATTTCAATTGAGACAAGAGATGCGAGGGATAAAATTAGACAAACATACTTACACCAAAGGTTACAATTTAATGCCCTCGACAACCCTCAAGCTGGCATTCAGTTACTGGTAGTATATTTTATCATAATTTTCAAGTAATGAATCTAGTGATGTGTGATTTAAATGTAGCCTCCCTTGAAGAGAGTTAATGTAAGTTACCATAAATGTTGCTCTAAAATCAAAGTTGAAGTTGCCAAAACATGTTTGCTGGGATAACATTTTTGGATTTGGGGAAACTATAAAACAAAGTCAGGGGGGTACCTTTAAGTCTCACAGTTAGGATATACTGTATGTTACCACCAGTAACTGAACATCAGCACCAGGATGGTTGCAAGCACATCAAGTCGTTAATTTCATCGCGAGCTAAAACTGCAAACGTTTTATACAGCAAGTGGACAGGGCAGTAAATCGATGGACGTTACTGATCTGGGAAAGGGCATGTTCACTACCAAAGACACATCGGCAAATCTGGGGAGCAGTTACAAGCGTGTTCTGTAACATAGCTTAGTGATCCGTTAACCTTGTGAATAAATGCTGCAGATAAAACAAGCGGCTATACAATGAAGCTGTCATCACAATTGCTGCGTGACATTTGAGGGTTTGCTATCAATGTCAGGCCCATCCCCTTTACTAGAAAGTGATGGCAACAACAATGCTAGGAACCGGAGGACCACTTCTGTGAATCGTAAATCGAGAGCAGACTACTGCTAGCTAGCTCGTTGCAAACACTAGCGTCTTGGTCTGTCTTGACTTTGTCATGGTGCATAATGACAATCACCACTTACAGCAATCAGTGTTTGGTCTTTTTAAACCTTCCCACTTGGTCCAACATGATATTTAGAGTCTAGCAAGATCGCTGTCGAGGAAAATCCCTGCAAGTCAACAATAGCTATTAGCATTAGCCAGCGGCTAGGTTACATGTGGCAGCTGGATGACTAACGATAGCTTTAAAGACACTTGAAGCCGCATTTACGGGGCAAATCATAGGTAACGACGTATATCTACTTAAATCAGCGACATGAACATAGATATGCGGTACACGTAAAGCTGGGTTGTCAAGGGAGCGAGTATTCGAGATACAAAGCCGGTTAAGTGAGCCCTACTACTACTACTAGCAAGCGCCATCATGCTAACACACATGCTAACTGCTGTCAGTCACACCGGAGTCACTAGACTCAGGAGGGTGCTAACGGGCCAGGGCTGTTTACTACACCGCATCGTTCACGGGGACAATCACCGTGACTAAATATATGGTAAACACCGCCGCTTACAGAAGAAACTGATGGTGACACGTGTACACGCTGAACCTAATGGAAAGATGAGGAAAAGTCCGTAAAGAGACCCTTACCAGCTGCTCCTGAGTTGTCAGGGCTTCCGCCATCTTGAAGCCTCCGCAACGTCGCAGCGGGCGCGCCCACCAGCCGCTCACTCACGCCCTACACCCCGAGACAGACACCCAGGCCCCGCCCACAAGCATTGCCCGACAGGATTTATCAATGCAGTGTGCTACTGACAATAAACTAGACGCTAAAAATCATGTTCGACCAAGTGTGAAGGTTAAAAATGACCAAACACTGATTGCTTTAAGTGTTGATTGTCGTTATGCACCATGATAAAGTTAAGGGAGAATGATACACGGATTTATTTGTCCACACATGTTATCATAAGATACATGTTGTGGATTGATGAATCACATTTGATTTGACCACAAACACTTCAAAATCTGTATTATATTTCTTCTTTTTTTTTTTTTTTTTTTACTTACTATAGATTTATTTATGCATTTACACCATATACAGTCTATGATTTACACATATTACCAGCTCTCTGTATTTAACCATACAATTTACCGCACTTACTGGACAGTTTATAAACACTTTAGAACAGTTTAGTCAGTCTAAAGCTTATGATTTCATTGACATTTTATTAATAGGCAACTTGTAAAAACATTATTCATCCATCGATACAATGTTTACCGCTATTTTATTTAACCACAAACTGTTGTTCAACTCTGTATTCATCCAAACATTTAACTAAAGGACAATACATTTAGTATTATTAAAATTAGTATTACTTGGTGGTAGTAGTATTCTAGGAATTGTCTAGGAACAGTGGTGGTGCATAGGAACTTTTGTATTCGTACCTTGTTTCCCGTCGAATTGTGGGCGGCGCACCGGCGGACTTTTTGATTTCAGATGTGTTCGCATCGCTGCTCAGCAGAAAGAAAATGTTTATACTTAGCAACCAAAATAATCACTTCCACTGCGACGCTTGTTTTCGCTCCCTTACCTTTGATACACATTGTTAAATATAGTTTATAAACTTGCGTCAAGAGTCAAACCAATGTCATGTTAATTTACATCCACCTACTCACGCGTTTGTCAAACACAGCACAACTTATTCAGTATGAGCACCTCGGGTCCTTCTCTGAAAAAGAAAAGCTATATGGGGCAGCACCAGATCAAGAAGAAAAGAAAGTAAGTCACAGTTTGACTTAATTTATGCTGTGGGGAGATTTAGAAGAATTAGGACCAGATTCCTTCTGTTGCGTAGAGACGTCTTCCAATCTGTGTGACGTTTCTATCTGTCTTACCTGTGGTGAACATACTTTTTTCTGTGCACAGCTTCCAAGCTCCCGATGAGCCACAAGATGAGAGAGACTGTCGCAGAAAACAGGTTACCTGTCAGGCAAAACAAACACCAGCAGAGATAGCCTCATGGTGAGTGTAACCACTTGAGAGAGAGTTTTTCCTCCTCGTCTCTTTGTCATCTTTCACACCTATATAGGTCAGAAATGACCTGCATTAATCTCCATCTTAGGGTGGAGGAGCAGTGTTTCCGCTGGGAGAATCCACATTAGCGCTGGATGAAGAGATGCTTCAGGTGCTGGATGCTGTAGACCCCGTGAAGCCTGCTTTTCCAACAGCAGTAAACAGAGATGCACAGGAAAGCCCAGCATCATCAGCTGACTCTGTCCCTTTACGGTCCCTTGCACCAGTTGCAGACAATAAGAGGGAGAGTGACAGAGCACATCAGCCCGCGGGACACCACAGAGCCCCAAGCACCCAGGAGAGTGTCTGTAGGCGTAGTGGTGATTGTAAGAGACCTGGACGGAGAGCTGACTGCAAAGACCTTGCACAGAGGCTTCTCTTCAGTGAGGACTTGGAGGAAGCGGAGCATGCTCAGAGGGGTGCCGGAAACATCCAGTCATTGCATGCCTCTGCCTGCATCAATGGGCTATCCAGTCAAGAAATAAAAAAACGTCAGCAACTAGGTGGCACCACCGAGTGAGTCTTAACCTACACTTTACAGCCCAGTTTGACTATTGTTTCTACTATCTGCATCTGTACTTGTCTGTTAACAATTTTTTGTTTACTTTGTATGTTTCAGTAGGCAGAAACTTGCATCCGGAAGACAGAGCTGCCCTCGTAGTGATGACAAAAGTGGGCAAAATATGAATGCTTATCCACCTCTGGATGTATCCAGGGACTACATCTTGTTCAGCCCCTCCCGCCTCGCAGCGGCCACGAAGAAGGCCAAACTGCAGCAGTCACTACAGAATCAGTCCGCTTCTGTGCTCACAGTCCCCAGCGGCTTAGACCTCAGTACTCTGAGTGACACTTTACCTCAGCCAGGTGAAATAATTGAAGTTGTGGCAAATATTTTCTAACATTGTTTTTTCTGTGTTATTGACGCCTTTCACACCTAGTTATTGCTGGATTAACCTGCCAGAGTGTCATGGGGCAAAACTAGCAGCTGGGGCCCTATTAACTGGCCCTTTCATCCCACTTCGTGCTCTGCATGCAGTTTTTCTACACTGGAACACTATTTTCGTGTAGAAATACTGTGGTTAAACTTTGTGCAAAATGGAAATAATGAAGGTCTTAAAATTTGATTTAATACAAGGACCCTCTTCAGGACAGGAGTTCAAGGTCAGGTAACAAAGAAAGACCCACTTCTAGGTTCTCATCATGTCAGTTCATACTGTGTTTTAGTGTTTTTTCCAAACCAGATTTCAATTTAATTATCTCAAAGAAATGCAGAAGTTTATTTGCATAGTACCTTTTAACAACAAGGCAATTCAAAGTGCTTTGCATAAAACATTAAATGGATTTAAAGACTAGAATAAAACAGAAATTCAATTTTATTAAATTAGATAAAATATTGCAATGCAAGACATGAATAAATAGCTTCATATTTAATCTAATAAAAGGCAGTGGCACAGACCAGTGAACTTGCTGTAAACCTGGAGCTTTTGGGGTCCTGGGGCAGTTACCCACTATAGCCTTGCACTATATCTCTTTGCAGCTATGTCCAGATTGTATCGTTAAACTAAATAACATTTATATCTGACATTAGTTTATGTACCCTGCCACCACACCAGTTTGAAGTGTAAAAGGAGTTCTTTATTTGTGCTCTACTGTAGGCATTGCCTTGCGTGCTCCCGCGGGGCAAGCTGAAAAGCTGCTGCTATCCAGTTGGGGCTTACCAAAACCTGTACTGGAGCGCTACCAGAAACACGGAGTGACTCACATGTTCGAATGGCAGGCTCAGTGCCTCACTGTTGGACAGGTGCTGCAGGGAGGTAACCTGGTGTACTCTGGTAAGAAACACTCTCTAGTCAAGTTAATTTAAGTTTATTTATATAGCCCGATAACATAAATTTGCCTCGGAGCGCTTTCCAATCTTTACTCTCTACAAAGTGATTCAAGGAGTCAGTCACTGTTAGGTCAGCATCTGCTTTCAATTCTGTCCTTTTCAGCTCCGACCAGTGCTGGAAAAACTCTGGTGTCAGAGCTGCTGATGTTGAAGCGAGTGTTGGAGACTAAAAGAAAAGCTCTCTTCATTCTGCCATTTGTCTCTGTGGCGAAAGAGAAGATGCATTACCTTCAGGTGAGGGAGAGGTGGACAGGGAAAAACGACATGCATGTTGTTACTTACATTGTGTTGTGTGAATGTGGGAGTATATCTACAGTATCTCCATCTAACAGACCTATATATCTGGCCTTTTGTAGAGTGTATTTGAAGAGGCAGGAGTTCGTGTGGAGGGATATATGGGCAGCACTTCAGCTGCTGGAGGGTTCACAGCTCTAGATGTGGCTGTTTGCACGATAGAAAAAGCCAACTCCCTCATTAACAGACTAATTGAAGAGGACTGTATGGGTCTACTAGGTAAATATACCAAGGATAAAAGTTCATTTCCTTGAGTCTAAAACATACAGTATGCATTTGAATTTGTGTGTTATATTTGTACTATTAGGTATGGTTGTGGTGGATGAGTTGCATATGGTTGGAGATTCTGGAAGAGGATACCTACTAGAACTGCTCTTAACCAAAATCCGCTACATTGCACAGAAGCAGAATACCACTGGGTTTGTATCCGTTAGTGTGTAACAGCTACACTGTTTAAAAATCCTGTTGCTCTCCTACATCTACAAATCTGTAAAACTCATTCTACAGGTCTCTCTCTGAGGGTGTACAGATCATAGGTATGAGCGCCACCTTGCCTAACCTCTCCCTCCTGGCTAGCTGGCTAGGCGCAGAGCTTTACCAGACAGACTACAGACCTGTACCCCTGCAGGAGCATCTCAAGGTGGGCTGCAACATCTACGACAAGAGCCTCTCTGTGGTGCGGCAGTTCACTCCTGCTCTGCACATTAAGGTAACTGAGTGTAGATGTTAGCCAGTGTGCGGAGTGATTCCTACTCTCTCAAGACCAGTAATATAAACTGTGTATGTATGTGTGGTCATAAAGGGTGACGATGACCACATAGTGAGCCTGTGCTATGAGACTGTGAGAGAGGCCCACTCTGTGCTTCTATTCTGCCCCTCGAAGAACTGGTGCGAGAAACTGGCGGACGGCATCGCCAGAGAATTCTACTGCCTCAGTCATGCTGGTACCTGGAATTTAAATTCCATCTCAAAATTATCTACTTTTTGTGCATACTAAATTTAAAAGTGAAGTCAAACTAAAGCTTGTTTGTGTTGCATTGAGTGATATTACAGTGGTTCTTCAGTTGAGAGTCATGTTAAGCTGATACGCTGAACAAGAACTTATCCCGTAAATCTAAATTTTGGTCTCATTTTTTTTCAGATTGTCAGGGCCAAGCAGAGCCTCGACCAGTGTGTCTGGATCGGGAGGGACTACTGGATGTCCTAGCCCAGTTGAGACGAACACCGGCCGGTTTAGACCCCATCCTCCAGCGGACTGTGCAATGGGGGGTGGCCTTCCACCATGCTGGTGAACACACTCACACAACTTCCTAACTGAAACAAAGTGCACACTGAACCAATACTGTTTATAGTATATAAATAAGATGTTTGTCTCTGTAGGTTTGACGTTTGATGAGCGTGATGTGTTGGAGGGAGCTTTTCGTCAGGGCGTGGTGAGAGTCTTGGCCGCCACCTCTACCCTGTCGTCAGGGGTTAATCTCCCAGCTCGCAGGGTCATCATTCGTACCCCTACCTTCAATGGACACTTGTTGGACCCGCTCACATACAAACAGATGGCTGGACGAGCAGGAAGGAAAGGGGTAGACACTGAAGGTATGGAGGGAAGGACGTTGGCATCGTTGCATGTTCATTGTTATTCCAGTTGGCGTGAGAGAGAAAACAAAACATGATCAGTCAGATGATGAACTTTATTATTGTGAGATAATAATCAATAACATCTCTCTTTTATTCTCACGTTCTTTTGTCCGTTCTCTTTCAGGTGAGAGTGTGCTGGTGTGTAAGGAGGCAGAGCGTCAGAAAGGTATTAGTCTCCTTAAAGGTGCTCTTCAACCAATCAGCAGCTGCCTGGTGAGAAGGGAGGGAGAGGGCATCACCACCAGCATGCTGCGAGCCATCCTAGAGGTATGGCCGTAAATACATCAGAATTAATTCCTTTGTAAAGAATGGTTGCCTCATCCTCTGGAGGCCATTGATGTATGGTTATATTAGTATACATAAGAGTAACAAAACAAATTTCTGCCCAATGAACTAATTGTTTTAAGTCCCCAATTTGAATCATCCCAACTTGCAGATCATTGTCGGAGGTGTGGCCAGCACTCCACAGGATGTGAGGTTATATGCTTCGTGCTCACTGCTGGCTGCCAGCATGAAATGTGACAGCAAAAGACAATCAAATGAGACCAACACAGGAGCTATTGAGGCCTGTGTTGAATGGCTGATGGACAATGAATTTATTAGTATCCAGAAAGATGGACAAGGTACTGTCTTTTTCATTATCAATGAGCATTCTTGATATCTTGACATACAATCAAAGACTTTTAGTAACAGAATAAACCATTTGATACAAATTCTGAAGAATAATGCAAGCATTTTGTGTATTTTGCATCATATATCAGTATCATCTTGAGCACCTTTGCAATTGCAATAACTACTGCATATCCTCTGATGTCTTTGCATATCCAGAGGAGCGGTACTGTCCAACTCAACTCGGCGCTGCCACCCTTTCCTCCTCCCTCCCTCCTGAGGCTGTAGGAATATTTGCAGATCTCCAGCGGGCCATGAAGGGCTTTGTACTGGAAAATGACTTGCACATTCTGTATCTGGTACAACACACATAGCTTGTATTATGACTTGTTTAATACATTTCTGTTGACTTTATTCACTCCCTATCATCCCTGAACCCCCACCAATACATTCATAATGGTAACTAACTCTAACTCTACGTTTAATTTGACCAGAAATGTCCCTTCCTCAAACACAAAATCCAGACCAGTCCTCCAAAGCATAGCATTTAAAGTTAATGTCCATATTCTCATCAGATCACCCCGCTGTACGCAGAGTGGACCACCATAGATTGGTATCAGTTCTTCTGTCTGTGGGAGCAGCTCTCGTCATCGATGAAAAGAGTAGCTGAGCTGGTGGGCGTCCAGGAGGGTTTTCTCGCACGATCTGTCAGTGGCAAACTTGTCGCCAAAACAGAGAAGCAGCGCAGACAGATGGCCATTCATAAACGGTAATGTGTGTGTGT